GCTGAGCCTCCAATGTTTGCACAGGCTGCCTCTTGCGTTTTTTTAAACGGAACGTTGCCCTTCTTGGCGAACTGTTTGTTTCCCTTGAAGCCCCTGGCCAGAATGGCATGGTTTCTAGAGACAGTCCTCTTGCCTAGGCAGCTTCTACTTGCAAGCTTGACGCACTTGTCATGTCAGTCACCCGGACCTCTGATGAAGAATACGCTGTTGGATCCTGCCTTGTAGAGGATTGGGGGGGACGTTTGCGAAACGGCGCTGCCCCAGTGCCTTTGCTCACAGAGAGCGGGTGGTATAGCAAGTGTTCAGCATGAGAGTATTGCTTGTAGGTGAACTGCGCCAGTTCTGCACAGACTTTTGCTCTTCAGCACTTGTGATCGCAGATGTTGCTTTGTGCTGAGCCGTGGCCATCATTTGGGTCAACTCGACTTAAGAAGAGGGGTTTGCCAGGTAGTGTGAGTGGAAAGCTAGTTTTGTGCCGCGGATGTTAGAGAGAGTGAAAGCCAGGAAGCCGCCAAACCGAGCAAGTTTTTCTGCCAAGCATATGCTGCACCACCAGCATTTACTCCCAGATGGACAGCTTCTATGATCAAGTCACGAAAGGTAGCGTCAGCTACCTGAGTTCTCCGTGCTTCAGCACAAGCTTAGGGGGTATTGGGGGGCCAGCCCGTGCAATTCATGGAATTCTCGCCGTTATGTATTGGATATCAATTATAAGGGGGGGGGGCCCCCGAAAATGGTCATGGGTTCAATTCCCACGGGTGACGCGGTCACGGGCCCCCACATTAGAGGCACACTTTCCATGAGGGAGATGGCCCTGTAGTCCAGCATAATTGGTATGCTTCAGCCTCAATAACAGTTGCTGCAAGGGGTCTTAAAGAGGGGTTTTAAATAAACCCCTTTTCGTGCATCATTTCACGCAGCACAAGACACAGTGTCATGCAGTCATGCTCTGGATAAAATCATCTTAGACTGCGCAAAAAACGTTTTTGGTGTATCATCTTAGGGGCGCAGCATTTTGACACCACTCCTCTCCCACTACACTACCTTTCGTCCGCCTCCGCCTGCTCTCAAGTTACCCGGTCATAAGTTTAAGTTGTGCAGGAACAAAGGTGCACCTGTAGACTTTGTGCACGCTGAGCGGTTCCTTGACTGATACAGGATCTACGGTACCTCAAGCTTCATCGCTGTTCGACGAAATCAGGAGTATATCGTTGAGATTATCGTTTGACAACTACCCCACATCATTGAGTGGTGTGATGGACCCCTTGCTCCGAACGTTTGTTCCAGCTTGTGAGCTGGTCAGAATGTGGGGTCATCTCCAGCCTTCTGTTGGCGTTCAGTGAGAAGCGTCATGACATCAGTTTCATCTGACAATGTCAGATCTTGCCCGTGCGTGTTCCCGGAACAGCTCGAACTGGACGCCTCCCTTGGGAGTTCCAGTCCTTGCGCAAACAGCTGTGCTTTCTACAGCGCTCTCCTCTCACCAGCTGTGCCAGTACATGGCCCACAGAGGTAGCTTGCCTTCTGTCAGACTGCTGACAAAGGTTGAATGATCCCAGTGAAGTGGCAGTGCAGGCTAGCACAGACGTTGTTGTCCCGTGTGTCCAAGCATTCCACGTAACGTGGTGATTTGAATGAAGCGCAACGCCCTGCAGAAAGGGACATGTGGTTCTTTATTTGGTATTGGAACATCGCCCAGAGCGCATCTACCACGGTGGCCCAGCACATGGTTGGCCGAGAGTTTGCTTGTTGACGAGCTTTTCTTTGCAAGGACATCAGACGTCCATCCAGAGAAACATGGACGTATTCTTTGCTTCTCTGACCAGTGCGAAGCCTTAGTCCAACAAGTCCGTTCATCGGCCAGAGTTTTGGAATGCGGCTTTGGATCCTCCCCTGCGGTTGTATGCTACTGAAGTTTGCAGTCGCCAGGAAAAAATTAGGATATTTGGTTGAAATGCGACATTTCTGCACAGACTTTTGCTCTTCAGCACTTGTGATTGCAGATGTTGCTTTGTGCTGAGCCGTGGTCAGCATTTCGGCCGGCTTGGCTTTTGACCCAAGAGCGGCTTACCAGAATGCTTGAATGAACAGGTTTCTATCTACTGCGGATATTTGAGAAACATGGAGTTTTGCAGATGCCAAACCCCAACTCATGCCAGATGTTTTGAATGGAAAGCTGCCTTCTGCCATGCACTTGCTCCATGCATGTTTGGATCTACCAACATTTGTGCAAGACCATGCCATACGCCATAAACGTTGCTGTCTCTGGCATTCCCGCGCAGCCTTGTTAATGATTTTCAAGGGGGGTCCTCTAATATTTGCACAGGCTGCCTCTGTTTTTTAAACGGAACGTTGCCCTTCTTGGCGAACTGTTTGTTTCCCTTGAAGCCCCTGGCCAGAATGGCATGGTTTCTAGAGACAGTCCTCTTGCCTAGGCAGCTTTTACTTGCAAGCTGGATGCACTTGTCATGTAAGCACCTGACCTCTGATGCAGAATACGCTGTTGGATCCTGCCTTGTAGAGGATTGGGGGGGACGTTTGCGAAACGGCGCTGCCCCAGTGCCTTTGCTCACAGAGAGCGGGTGGTATAGCAAGTGTTCAGCATGAGAGTATTGCTTGTAGGTGAACTGCGCCAGTTCTGCACGGACTTTTGCTCTTCAGCACTTGTGATCGCAGATGTTGCTTTGTGCTGAGCCGTGGCCATCATGTCGGTCGGCTTGGCGTTTGACCCGAGAGTGGCTTTCAGTGTCTTTTGAGCCGAAAGCTGCCTTCTGCTGTGCATTTGCTCCATGCATGTTTGGATCTACCAGCATTTGTGCAAGACCATGCCATAAGCCATAAACGTTGCTGTCTCTGGCATTCCCGCGCAGCCTTGTTAATGATTTTCAAGGGGGGTCCTCTAATATTTGCACAGGCTGCCTCTTGTGTTTTATTAAACGGAATGGTGCCCTTCTTGGCTAACTGTTTGTTTCCCTTGAAGTTCCGGGCCAGAATGACATGGTTTCTAGAGACAGTCCTCTTGCCTAGGCAGCTTCTACTTGCAAGCTTGATGCACTTGTCATGTAAGAACCCGGACCTCTGATGAAAAATACGCTGTTGGATCCTGTCTTGTAGAGGATTGTGGGGGACGTTTGCGAAACGGCGCTGCCCCAGTGCCTTTGCTCACAGAGAGCGCGAGGTATGGCCAGTGTTCAGCATGAGAGTATTGCTTGTAGGTGAACTGCGCCAGTTCTGCACAGATTTTTGCTCTACAGCACTTGTGATCGCACATGTTGCTTTGTGCTGAACCGTGGTCAGCATTTCGGTCGGCTTTGCTTTTGACCCAAGAGCGGCTTACCAGAATGCTTCAATGAACAGGTTTCTATCTACTGCGGATATTTGAGAAACATGGAGTTTTGCAGATGCCAAACCCCAACTCATACCAGATGTTTTGAACGGAAAGCTGCTTTTTGCCATACACTTGCTCCATGCCAAATGATTTGCAAGGGAGGGGCGGAGCCTCCAATGTTTGCACAGGCTGCCTTGTAGAGGATTGGGGAGGACGTTTGCGAAACGGCGCTGCCCCAGTGCCTTTGCTCACAGAAAGCGGGAGGTATAGCAAGTGTTCAGCATGAGAGTATTGCTTGTAGGTGGCCTGCGCCAGTTCTGCACGGGCTTTTGCTCTTCAGCACTTGTGATCGCAGATGTTGCTTTGTGCTGAGCCGAATGTTTGCACAGGCTGCCTCTTGCGTTTTTTAAACGGAACGTTGCCCTTCTTGGCGAACTGTTTGTTTCCCTTGAAGCCCCTGGCCAGAATGGCATGGTTTCTAGAGACAGTCCTCTTACCCAGGCAGCTTCTACTTGCAAGCTTGATGCACTTGTCACGTAAGCACCTGACCTTTGATGAAGGATAGCTGTTGGATCCTGCCTAGTAAAGCGACAGTTGCAAAACGGCGCGGCCCCACCGCCTTCCCTCACAAAGAGCATGAGGTATGGCAAGTGTTCAGCATGAGAGTATTGCTTGTAGGTGAACTGCGCCATTTCTGCACGGACTTTTGCTCTTCAGCACTTGTGATCGCAGATGTTGCTTTGTGCTGAGCCGTGGCCATCATTTGGTTCAATTCGACTTAAGAAGAGGGGTTTGCCAGGTAGTGTGAGTGGAAGGCTAGTTTTGTGCCGCAGATGTTAGAGAGAGTGAAAGCCAGGAAGCCGCCAAACCGAGCAAGTTTCTTTTGTCAAGCATATGCTGCACCACCAGCATTTACTCCCAGATGGACAGCTTCTATGATAAAGTTACGTGGTCATAAGTTTGAGTTGTGCAGGAAGAAAGGTGCGCCTGTAGGCTTTGTGCACGCTGCGCGGTGTTTTGACTGACAGATTCATCGTTGCTCGACGAAATCAAGAGTATATCGTTGAGATTGTCGTTTGACAACTACCCCACATCATTGAGTGGTGTGATGGGCCCCTTGCTCCGAACGTTTGTTCCAGCTTGCGAGCTGGTCAGAACGTGGGGTCATCTCCAGCCTTCTGTTGGTGTTCAGTGAGAAGCGTCATGACATCAGTTTCATCTGACAATGTCAGATCTTGCCCGTGCGTGTTCCCGGAACAGCTCGAACTGGACGCCTCCCTTGGGAGTTCCAGTCCTTGCGCAAACAGCTGTGCTGTCTACAGCGCTCTCCTCTCTTCTAGCACGGTGGCCCAGATGTTGCTTTGTGCTGAGCCGTGGCCATCATTTGGGCTCGACTTAAGAAGAGGGGTTTGCCAGGTAGTGTGAGTGGAAAGCTAGTTTTGTGCCGCGGATGTTAGAGAGAGTGAAAGCCAGGAAGCCACCAAACCGAGCAAGTTTTTTCTGCCAAGAATATGCTGCACCACCAGCATTTACTCCCAGATGGACAGCTTCTATGATAAAGTTATGTGGTCATAAGTTTGAGTTGTGCAGGAAGAAAGGTGCGCCTGTAGACGAACTGCGCCATTTCTGCACGGACTTTTGCCCTTCAGCACTTGTGATCGCAGATGTTGCTTTGTGCTGAACCGTGGTCAGCATTTCGGTCGGCTTGGCGTTTGACCCAAGAGCGGCTTACCAGAATAATTAAATGAACAGGTTTCTATCTACTGCGGATATTTGAGAAACATGGAGTTTTGCAGATGCCAAACCCCAACTCATGCCAGATGTTTTGAATGGAAAACTGCTTTCTGCCGTACACTTGCTCCATGCATGTTTGGATCTACCAACGCTGCTGTCTCTAGCATTTCCGCATAGCGAAATCAATGATTTGCAAGGGAGGGGCGGAGCCTCCAATGTTTGCACAGGCTGCCTCTTGCGTTTTTTAAACGGAACGTTGCCCTTCTTGGCGAACTGTTTGTTTCCCTTGAAGCCCCTGGCCAGAATGGCATGGTTTCTAGAGACAGTCCTCTTGCCTAGGCAGCTTCTACTTGCAAGCTTGATGCACTTGTCATGTAAGCACCTGACCTCTGATGAAGGATACGCTGTTGGATCCTGCCTTGTGAAGGGACAGTTGCAAAACGGCACTGCCCCACCGCTCCCTCACGAAGAGGATGAGGTATGGCCAGTGTTCAGCATGAGAGTATTGCTTGTAGGTGAACTGCGCCAGTTCTGCACGGACTTTTGCTCTTCAGCACTTGTGATCGCAGATGTTGCTTTGTGCTGAGCCGTGGCCATCATTTCGGTCGGCTTGGCTTTTGACCCAAGAGCGGCTTACCAGAATGCTTGAATGAACAGGTTTCTATCTACTGCGGATATTTGAGAAGCATGGAGTTTTGCAGATGCCAAACCCCAACTCATGCCAGATGTTTTGAATGGAAAATTGCTTTCTGCCGTACACTTGCTCCATGCATGTTTGGATCTACCAGCATCTGTGCAAGACCATGCCATATACGTTGCTGTCTCTAGCATTCCCGCGCAGCCTTGTTCCGGTAGCACATTGTTACATGCCATGAGCAAGAAGCTCGCACAGAGGAAGCGTGCCAGTTCCCTTAGTTCCCTTGCCCAAAGGGATCGCTTTGCCAGTCCTGATCAGCTTGGGGTCAGCGGAAAGGCATGTCAACTTTTTGTTTAACCCTCAGTCCTGCGGCCGATGCTGCCATTTGCGCAGTGAGGCAAGCCTTGGAGTAAAAAACGATGGACAGTTCAATGGAAAATATAAATGACAATAGCTAGGAGCCAATTCCACTCACTCCGTTGGATCACTTCGGAAACTCCTTGCAAAATCCCCGCATGCGTCCGTCCTTGCAACAGTCCTCTTGGCTGAGCCGGCAACGTGGTGCCAGGCGTTTGAGCCTTGCAATTCGGTCCCATTGCACGAGTTTTTGTGACAGAGAGTCCAGTGGCACACACTGGGACATATTTCCATGCTGCTTGCCTCAATTGCATGTTTTGTGGTCTGATGATTGTAGGGGTATACTATCCCATATATCCATATATATCTAAATATATATCTAAATATATATATATTTATTATATATCCAAGATAGTGTAGTCCATGGAATATCACAGGGGAAATCCATGGAATTCCGAACCAAGCATCAATTCCATCGAATCCATCGCGTCTGAGGTATTGCGGCACGTACAGGAAGACCAGGCCAAGGGGTCGAAAAAAAGAGTCAGAGTCAACATGAGATGCTACGCGAGGGTTACGAGGAGATACGGCCTCGCTTGTGCCCGTCGATTTGTCTCGCTTGTGCCCGCGTAGCCCCTTTCAGTGATTTTACGCAGCAGGGCTGAGGGAAACTGCATCGCTCGACAAGTTTAGCGGTAGCGTGTTCAAGAGCAAGCGAATAGAAGCATCTTGCTGAAGTAGCTTGGAAGACGCCCTGAATGCTACCTTGATGACATGTTGAAGTAACTTGGAAGACAGCCTTGATGCTTTTTTTTAAATCATGTTCAAGCAACGAGGAAGACGCTCAATATGCTACGTTGATAGCATGTTGAAGTAGCTTGCAAGACAGCCTTGATGCTACTCCCTGTCTCCTTGTCCCCAAGTCCCCCCCTGTGAATTTTGACGTGGGTTTGTCTGGTGTTTGACTATCCAGTTGCCTCAAGTACTTGTCTTTGCATGGAAATGACCGTTGCCATTCAAGCGGTCTGCCCTTTTGTACCATCCATCTACGATCTGTGCGCCATACGGAAAATCGACGTGGCGTCTTTCTATCGTGGGTGCTTGAAAGCCTGGTTAGTGATTAGATCTATCATCCTCAAGCGGGAGTTTGATCCTTGAACCTTTGGGAAAGAATATTGCTGCCATCCACTCTGCCATCCACATGGTAGCGGAGCCTGGCTCCTGCTAGGCCCGCTGTGTGAGAAAGGAGAACATGGCAACGGACAAAGATCAGGACGGAATCGACCACAAGATTCCAACATGGAATGGGGACTGGACGACCTTTTCTGACTATGTCCTACGAGTGGAGCTTCGGGCCGATGCCACGAAGAAGGATGACAAGTTCCTCTTGGGCCCACGTTTAGCTGGAAATCTCACTGGCCGAGCATTTGACGCTCTTGGGGAAGTCAACCGAGAAGAGCTTCGTAAAGAAGGTGGATGGAAGTACCTACTGGAATTCCTTGAGAGCAAGAGAGGCGAAGAGAAGATCGATGTTCTTGGTGACCTTTTCACTGAGTTCTTTGTGAAAAAGGAGTCTCATCGAAAGGACGGTGAGGATCTTACCGACTATGAACCTCGTTTTCGACAGCTGGTTCGACGTCTTGACAAGGCAGTGGCTGACACTGGCTCTACTGGGAAGATCCCACAGAGCTGTACGGGTGGGTATTACCCAATCTGTACATGAAGTTGGATGCCTCCGATGCTGCGAATGTGAGAGGTCGAGCCGAATCATACAAGCTGGATGACATCATGGCGGCTTTGAAGAAGATGTGGTCGGGCGGAGGACTCTGCGCCAAGGACTTGGAGAGAAAGAAAAGAAAGGATGGCCAGACCTATGTAGCGCATCAGACCTCTGAACCATCAATCTATCATGAGACGGAGGAGACCTATGAGAAAGAGTCTGTGACTGAGGAGCTTGAAGAGCAGGCCATTCTTGAGGATGCCAAGGCATGGTATCAAGAAGCTCTTGACGCTCTGCTGGAGGAACCAGAAGATTCCACCATCTTGGCAACCTTTAAAGAAGCCCGCAAAGCGCTCGATGCAGCGCGGACGGCTCGTGGATTCTATCCAGTTCGGAATCCCAATGCTCGTCGCGAGGGCTCCAAAGGCTTTGGCAAGAAGGGCTACTCTGGCAAAGGTGGTGACAATCCACATGCTGACAAACAGTGCCTTCGATGTGGAAAACGAGGTCATATTGCTAGAAACGGTCCTCAACGTCCCCAGCAAGGCCGAGGCAGTGCTGAAGGAAATGGGGGCATTGGCTTTGTAGGATGGAATGAAGAAGCTGATCAAGGCCAACAGGGGAGTGAGTGTATCAAGTGTCTCCGGTGTCGCTCAATACTCATGCAATTCTGGATTCTGGAGCCAGTGACAACATTGTTGGTGTTGAAACCCTTCAAGACTGGTCAGAACAGCTGGAACTTCTGGGTTTTGCTGCGGCTGATGAGATCTATGTGGATCGGCAACAGCACAAGAGGTTCACCTTTGGCAACAATGCCAGTGCAGCAGCTCTCGGAAAAGCCTATGTGAATGTCGGCCTCTTCGGGCATCAGCTGGAAGTGGAGGTTCATCTCGTTGAGGGTGCTACGCCCTTCCTGCTGAGTGCAAAGTTTCTAGCAGATCTGAATGCCACTGTAAATTTCAGAAATGGCGCAGCTGTTTTCCGTAAGCTTTCAAATGAGCAGTATGTTTTGTCCTGAACCGCAGGCGGACACCTAGCTGCTCCCTTGTTAGCGTATGCCGGAAATGCCAGCGTGTACATAGAGAGTCGTGTCTCCAAGCCAGATCCCGTTGTACAGGCCATGGATTCTCCTGAGTCATCAACTAGTGATGATTCCTCCGATTTGCCTAGTGCTGAGAAGGGCAGACCTGAACATGGTCAGCACTAGGGACAGCTCCACCAAGACAATTTTGAACCCAGCAATTTTTGTGTCTTGAGTGGGGAGGATAGATTAGCTGGGAATGCTGTGACAGAAGAGCATGTGTCTAGTGAAGAAAGTGTTGTTCATCATGGTAGTGGTGTTTGTGGTTCGTGTGGGACTGTTTCGGGTAGGAATCTTTTGGCTGGACATAGGAATGAGATTATGAGTAGCATGCACACGGAACTTCAAGAAGGAGTCCAAGCCTTGCAAGAGATTCTTCGGGGAGCCCGTCTTGACCTTTTGGAGATATGTGCACCATGGGACAGCCCTCTCACGAAGGCAGTGGAAGAAGCTGGTGGCAGAGCCGTTGCACTAGGACTTCAAAATGGGTACGATCTCACGACTAGGTCAGGATTTCGTAAAGCTGCTCAATTCATTCGAGAAATGAAACCAAGGTGTGTTCACATCTCTCCTCCTTGTTTTCCTTGGTCACCCATGCAAAATCTGAATCACAGTAGAGATCAAATTCAAAGGTTGTTTGAGCTTCGTAGGAAACATCGGAAGCTGCTACACCACTGTCGCCGTCTTGCTGAAATTCAGGTTTTGGAAATGAACAGTCATCTGAGTTTCGATGAAAAACGCATGGATTTCCATCATGCGGGTTTTGAGCATCCTCTTAGGGCAGTCAGTTGGGGACTCGACGAAGTCAGAGTCGTGGTTAGACTGTGTGGGGGTGAGCGTTTCCGCGTTGATGGGTGTCGGCATGGCTTGATCAACAAGGATACCCACAATTTGTTTCATAAACCTTGGGGCTGGTGTACCACTCATCAAGGTATAAGGACTGCTTTGGAGTTGAAATGCAATCATCAACCTTGGGAATATGATCGTATTGAAGGAAAACACACGTCTCAAACTGCTGTTTATCCCTTTCTTTTGTGTCGACGGTTTGCTAAAGCCTTGATGAAAGATCTGGAACCTTTGTTTTCTGTTTTTAGGGAAGTTAATGGTGTGTTTTTGGGAGAAAACCCTGAGGAAGAAGAGCATGATGGGAATTCCCCTGAAAATGTCGTGCCGGTGGAAGATGCGGAACCCGGAGAAGCACTGAGGTTTACCCCAGCAGAACTCCAGCAAAAACTAAGGACCATTCATCGGAACTTAGGACATCCATGTCAGAGCACCATGTTGCGGCTGCTTCGCGACGCTGGAGCTGATGCTGAAGTACTATCAGAGGCTGCGAAGTTTGAATGCCCAGAGTGTTTGCAGCGCGGTCGTCGATCATCGGCACAACCAGTTGCGCCAGCACCCGTGAGAGAGAAGTGGCATACTGTTTCAGTTGATACCTTTTGGTGGAAATATCCCGAAAAAGCATTGGCCCCCAAGGAAAAGAATCAACATGTTGTGGGTTTGAGCATTTTTGATGAAGCCACTGATTTTCATGGTGCCGTTCTTATTCGGATGGGTTCTGGGGGTCCTATGCATAACATATCTGGGGAAGAATTCACTCAAGCCTTTTCTGAGGGTTGGTTACAAAGATATCCTGCTCCTGTTGTTCTCAGGTATGACGAAGAAGCGTTTTTCCGGGGTCTGAAGTTGAAAGAATTTTTGGAAAAGTTTGGGATCAAACTTGAACCCATTGCTGGGGAATCGGCTTGGCAAATGGGTAAGCACAGTAGGCACCTTCAAACCCTGAAAGAACAGATGAATCTTCTTGCCAGTGAACTTGGCACCAGTTTTGAACCTCATCAACTTTTGGCCTTGGCGCTTAGTGCCAAGAATTCTCTGCACAATATCAGGGGGTATAGTCCTCACCAATGGGCCTTCGGTAGGAGTCATCAACGGATTGCCTCATTTCTTCAAAACTACGACAATTTGCCTTTGCAGTCCCAAAGACAGGAACTTGATTTTGAGGAATCTCTGCAAGTGGAAACGAAGGCACAGAGAATTTTCTTGGAGGCTGACGCAAAGAGGCGATTAGCCAGGGCACTCAGACACCGCTGTAGGCCGTTGAAAGAGTTCCAAACAGGACAGTTGGTGTACTATTTCAGAAAAGGTCGAAAGGAAGGCTCAAGGTATGGAGGTAAGTGGTATGGACCAGCCAGGGTTTTGTGTCATGAACGAACTAATCTCGAAGCTGGGAGAGAACACCTGGGATCAATTGTTTGGGTGAGTCATGCTGGGTTTTGTTGAGATGTTCACCGGAACAAATACGACCTGTCACTAGGGAACTCAGTAGCGTGGATTTGGAAATTAACGGGCCCCGAGACTTTCACTCCATGATGGAGAAAATTTCTCAACAACTGAAGTATCTTGATTTGACTGATCAGTTCGATGCACCATGGGAACCAGAGAGAACATATGACGAGGACGATGCGCCCCGTTATCGGCTCAATTCCAAAAGACCAGCTGACGAACTTTTCCAACCTCCCTTAAAGTGCCTTTCGACGAAGACTCTGTTGAGCTTCGACCTCATGGCGACCAAGATGGACCTGAAGACTCTGTACCAGAAGAGCCAGGAGGGAAACGAATCAGAAGAGATTCAGCAGTTCCAGAATCTGTCGATGGAAGAGATGGGACAGGAAGTCATGAGCTTCGGCAAGTACCAGAAGAAAACATTTCCGGTGGCTTACGAGGACAAGGGCTACGTGAAGTGGTGCGTGGAGCACGCCGACTACGACAAGTCCTGCCAGGGCATGAAGAAGTGGTTGGTGTACCTGCGTCGCAGGTTGGAGATGGAACTTCAGGAGAAAGAGGCCAACGGAAGCGGCGGCCCTCCAAAGATGCCAGTCAGCTCCGTGAGGAACAAGGCGAAGACTGCACCTCACACCCATCTCCCGGACAAAGTCGTGGAGACCAAGATTCCCATGGATCTGATGAGCGAGATGAGCAGGGAGTGGGATCCTGTGGAGACCACGAAGTTGGAGATTCTGGAAGGGGAGCTGATGCAAGTCTCTTCTCGTCTGGATCAAGTCGAAGGACTGCACCATCGCATGAACCAGGTGGAGGGTGTCCTCCAGGAGATCCTATCAGTCATGAAGTCGAAGGCCGCCGCATGAGCTCTTTTGAGCGGGCAGCAGCGGTGCTGCAGAGTACAATTGAGAGGCAGGTAGGAACTCAGCGATGTAAAGTAGTCACGGCGTCCATTTGCAATCAAACCGTTTGACGGTTGATTCCCAGGTTGGTGTTGATGGTCAGCGTTGTGACTTTTCTGATTTGGTCGGTTCCTCTGCTGTTGTTGAATTGGTGTTTCAAATTGCTCCTCGTGACATCCACTCTCGACGTGGAGTCTGGGTTGTTAATCAAAAGGTCAAGAAAAATGCCGAGGTAGTGTATCGAAAACTCTCAAAGGAGGATCAAGCTGAGTTTGATCGTGCGATGAAGAAGGAGATTGATTCATATGTTTCCAGTGAGGCTGTTCGGATTTGTGAGTCTCATGGAATTCCACCGGAGAGAGTGATGCAAATGCGCTGGGTTCATACATGGAAGGTAGACACTAATTCAGCTGTCTCGACTTATCATCAAGGGATTCCAGGATCCGCGATTGGTAGATTTGCCTCGGGAGGCTCCAACTTTGTCCACCATGGGCCGCAATCTCTTAGTCTCTGCAGCTAGTAGAAACCGAACTCAGTTGTGTGCCGGACACATAAAGACTGCCTTTTTGCAAGGTGAGCAGTCTGAGCTTGATGAGGAAATTTATGATTTACCACCACCGGAAGTTCGGGCTCATCTGCAAATGACCCCAACTCAAATTTTGCGAATTGCCAAGGCGATTTACGGTCTCTTAAATGCTCCTAAAGCTTGGAATGAGTCTCTTTGTTCTTTTCTGCGAAGTGATGGTTGGATTCAACATCAATTGGATCAGTGTCTTTTCAAGTGTGTTCATGCTGGTGAGGTGGTTGGTTACCTTGGAATTCATGTTGATGATGTCATTACCACGGGTTCGGGTCTGGAATATGAAGCTGCTTTGACTAGGCTAAAGGCCAAATTCAAGTTTGGATCATGGGACAATGCTCAAGAAACTACTCTGACGTATTGTGGTTGTGAGATTCGTCAGGATCCGAATTTTGGAATTCAGATAAAACAAGAACGTTTTGCTCAGGAGATCTCAGACATTGTCCTTTCTCAGGAACGACGTGCGCAGACTCAAGATCCGATCTCTACTCAGGAGAAGACTGAGATGAGGCAGCGGTTGGGAGCCCTAAATTGGCGGGCTACTCAAACGGCACCTTGGATGCTAGCAACAGTGTCTCTGCTGCAAGGGTGCGTGGAGAGTGGCATGGTTTCCGATTTGGTTATTGGTCAACAATCTCATCCGTTTAAATCGTAAGTACTTTGATCAGGGTCTGTATTTTCCTCCCATGAAAAACAAATGCACTCTTGTCACTTTCACTGATGCAAGTTGGGCCACACAGCGCGATAGTAGCTCTCAAGGGGGTCAAATCACTTTGTTAATGGAAGAAGGAGCTCTGAATGGTTGTAAAACTCCTTTTCATGTGATTTCTTGGAGTAGCCGTCGTTTGAAAAGAGTGGCTCGATCATCAACTAGTGCGGAGACACAAATGTGTGCCAATGCCTTGGATCTTCATGATTTTATTAAGCTGTCGTTTTTGGAACTGGAGAGTCCCAAACCTTTAGTCCTCGCTAACTCTGACCTGTTGTTGAGCCGTTGGAAAACCTGTATGATTGTTGATGCGAAGAATGTTTTTGATGCTGTTTGTAAAATTGAGACTGCAGGTTTACAGTTAGAAGAAAAAAGGACTGCCATTGAACTACTAGCCATCAAGCAGAGATTGCAGCAAGCCCTGGTGGACCTACGATGGGTCAACAGTGACCAACAGATGTCAGATGCCCTGACAAAACCATGGCAACATGAAAGTCTTATTCGAGCACTTCAGGAAAGCATGTGGAGAATCGTTTATGATCCATCCTATCAGTCTGTCAAAAGAGTCCGAGCTTTGAAACAGTCCCAGCAAAATCCAGAGATGTATGCTCTTTACTGTCTCTGGGATCTGGCCACTGAAGCGAGTCTTGAGGCAAGACAAAATTTTGATCGGTGCGAATTTTGACGTGGGTTTGTCTGGTGTTTGACTATCCAGTTGCCTCAAGTACTTGTCTTTGCATGGAAATGACCGTTGCCATTCAAGCGGTCTGCCCTTTTGTACCATCCATCTACGATCTGTGCGCCATACGGAAAATCGACGTGGCGTCTTTCTATCGTGGGTGCTTGAAAGCCTGGTTAGTGATTAGATCCATCATCCTCAAGCGGGAGTTTGATCCTTGAACCTTTGGGAAAGAATATTGCTGCCATCCACTCTACCATCCACACCCCCTAACCCCAAGTCCCCCCCATGTCCCCTAAAAAGATAAAGCCTAAATGGTTGTTTATGTACTTGTTGATACCTACACCCTGTCTCCTTGTCCCCAAGCCCCCCCCAAACCCCAATTCCCCCCATGTCCCCTAAAAAGATAAACCCTACAAGGTTTTTATGTACATGAAGATAGGTATACATGAATGTGGGCGCAAGTGAGTCATTGTGATGGGCGCAAGTGAGGCTGGTTCTATATGAAAGTTTAGAAAATAGCTAGGAACCAATTCCACTCACTCCGTTGGATCACTTCGGAAACTCCTTGCAAAATCCCCGCATGCGTCCGTCCTTGCAACAGTCCTCTTGGCTGAGCCGGCAACGTGGTGCCAGGCGTTTGAGTCTTGCAATTCGGTCCCATTGCAAGAGTTTTTGTGACAGAGAGTCCAGTGGCACACACTGGGACATATTTCCATGCTGCTTGCCTCAATTGCATGTTTTGTTGGCTGATGATTGTAGGGGGGGTATACTTGTACTATCCCATATATCCATATATATATATATATCCATATATATATCCATATATATATATATCCATATATATATATATCCATACATATATATATATAGATATATATATATATATGTATATCCAAGATAGTGTAGATGATCATGGATTATCACAGGGGAAATCGGGAAATCCATGGAACCGAACCAAGCATCAATTCCATCGCATCCATCGCGTCTGAGGTATTGCGGCACGTACAGGAAGACCAGGCCAAGGGGTCGAAAAAAAGAGTCAGAGTCAACATGAGATGCTACGGGAGGGTTACCAGGTTACCAAGAAACACCAAGAAGCTATGTCAAGAAAAAACGGTAGAGAAAAAGATTTCAAGAGAGGATGCCACGACAAAGAAAGAGGACGGAAGTCTGGCACGGAAGCTTCGTTTTCACGTTTCCAACTTTCAAGCGGCAAAACGCATTTTTGAAAGATCGCGGGCGTATGAAACGTTGGTTTGTATCCGGCTCTGCCGAGCGCCATGTGCGAAGCTGTCTCGGGTCATGATGAGATAGGGGGATCATCATGTGATCGTGCGCGGATCGGCCGTGCGTTGGAGTTCAGGTATCGTTGGTTTCGTATTTTGATTTGGCGCAGGGTAGTTCCTAGACGTTCTTAGGTGGTCTGCAAATTGATGCTTGCAGATTGCAATGGCAATGGGCTGGGTGCGTTTGTCTTGCTGGTAGCTGCGGCTGGTGGCGTGGTTCGACATTCGGACACTGTGGTCAGCTTCAGGACGCTTCCCATTCCCGTTAACTGTGGCCGTTTATTCGAGGACTTAAGGAGACCGGATGGTCAACACAAGAGATGATCAGAGGATAGAGGCGTGGAGGAAAGACAAGAAAAGAGAAGAGCAGAGAAGAGCTGGGTAGTGAGGAGGGTGGAGAGAAGAGAAAAGCAGAACAAAGAATAAACGAGACAAGTAGAACAGAGCAAACAGGAGTAGCGAAGAGAATAAAAGAGAAGGGTAGAAGAAAAGGAGGAGAAGAGTAGCAGAAGGAGAAGAGGGAAAAGGGGTAGCAAAGAGTAGAGTGGAGTAGGCTAGAGCAAAGGAGCAAAGAGAAGAAAAGAAAAAAGGCTGAAGAGATCTGAGCAGTAAAGAGGGCTTCAGCGCAAAAGCAGGCACCGTGGGAGAAAAAACTGTCCAAGCACGGAAGCAGAGAAAGTGCAAAGAGGGAATTTTCCCAACGCGCAAGTGTTCTTGTGCAGATTCAATGTGCACATTCTTTCCAAATTCTTAAGAGACCCATTTGGGAAACAGGGAAAGCAAAACATAAGAATCGAACAAAGACCAGGTTTCGTTCTTGTTTTTATCGTTTTTCTGGTTGTTTTGTTTGCATTTTGAATTAGTATTTTTTCGCTTTTGTTGCTGTTTTCTATGATTGACTTTGTTTAGATGCGTGCAACTTTATTTCATATTTTTCATTTTATTTGTATATTGGTTGGCTGTCGCAAGTGTAATATCATTAGTCGTCATTAGTCATTATTTGTTTTTAGGTTTTCTTGTTGTTCCCGCATGCGTAGCTAAGAGTTCTCGCTTTACTTTGGAGGTCTGGGGGTGGAGATGTACTCACTCGAGGCGTTCGCAATCGTCCGCAACCGTCCGCAACCGTCCGCTGGTCCGCTGAGATCGCTATGGCCGTGCCTCTGGCGATTGCTGCAAAAGGTGACATTTTTGGAGGCTTGAAACGTTGTGTATTGCCGTTTCGTGTGGTAGGCGTGGCGCTTCGTGACATTGTCACGTTTCTGATAAGGTGTCGAAAATCGTCTTGTGTGACAGGCGCCATAGCTCTGCGATATTTTCAGAAGACGATTTGTGCTTTTCGTGGCAGGGGCAGGACTTTGAAGACCTTCATGGTCATTTTGAGTGGCAGGCGCAATATTTGGGGCACTTTCGTGTTTGCAGCTGCCGCTTTCTCCATTGGCATGGCTGCGCGAGGTGCGATGTTACTTTCGTCTTTCTAGTGCGTGGCAGGCGCAGTATCTGATGATGTTGCAACTTGCCACTGTGGACTTGACCCTCCCCACTACATTCCACACTTCCGAGTCTTACATTGAATATGTCACATTCCGCTCCACGTTCTGCACTACGCACCTCACACTTCGCACTCCTCCACGCTTCACACTCCGCACTTTTTTACACTTTACACTCCGCACGTTACACTTTACATTCCACACTCCACACTCCTCACTTCAACCTCCATGCTCCCCACTTCACACACTACATGTCACACTCCACACTTCACCCTTTACACTCCCAAACCACCATTCCACACTATACACTTCACACTTGACACTCTGCACTCCAAAATCCGTGCCTCACACTCCACACTTCACACACACGCTCACACACACAGACATGTCACCCTCCACACTCCACACTTCACACTCCCCACACTCCACACTCCAAACTCTACACTTTACACTCCACACTTCATACTCCACAATCCCCACTTCACACTCTACGCCAGACTCCATTCTACACATTACATTCCCCACTCAACACTCCATTGTTTATACTCCACACTTCACACTCCACACCCTGCACTCCACCCCATTCCACACTCCACAGTCTACACTGGTACAGTAACAGGGGAAGAATGTACAATACTGTTGAAATAACTTGTTTGCACAAATGTTTTACGTGACTGCATTCGGGTTCGTTGGTTGGTCTTGTTTTTTACTTGCAAGTGTTTCGTTCTTGTGTTTTGAAAACGACGTGGCCAACAAGATAAGGCTGTTGGGGGGAACATGGGCACCTCCCCAAATAGCAAAATGCCCGTGACGGAGGGACACTGTGAATTATGAAACTTCCGAAATGTTTTGGGCCCCCAGATGTCATAACGCCAATAATCTTTCCAAAAGGTTTAAAGGTCGCAAATCATATGCATATCCACGAAACCGTGAATTGCACAGCGCCAAAATATTACCATTGCCGCATTGTGTTGCTGTGCCAGGCCAAAGAACACAGCGGAGCGGCCGCTCGAGGGATCAAAAAGGATGCGTCTTTGGTGTGGTTTCCGTTCCTTAGATGATGGGCCTCACCAACTACTTTGACTTACCCAGTTGTGGCTAGTCAGAACACCATTTGCGGATCACCTGGTAGTGTCTAATCTTGTACCTGCTTTCCCAAAAAAAAATCCGTGCGAGGAGAAATTTGCAAGATGACCAAATATTTGAGATTCCGCCGCCATCATCCGCAGTCACTTCTTTCCAGTTTTCTTGTCACGTGTTCCAATCAGCGTTTGTCTCATTTTCTTTACGTCGGTTTCATTGGTTTGCTTTGTTTCTCTCAATGTGGCTCCTATGTCAGCGAAATTCCAAAGTTCACATCGCAATACATTTGTTTTCCTCCGACAGATTTGAATTCGCAAAACCAAAACGCCTGAAATTAGAAAGATATGGAAGGACAAAGCGCAGAAACGAAACTGTACGGATCAGAGCATAGCAGCTATAGCACTGATATACAGAGTTGGCACAACTGGAAACACTTTCTATACAGAGTTGGCAGTAAATTTCATCCACTTCATCCACTTTCTATGGCAGATTTCCATTTGAAAATCGATGCGCCGTGGCTTGAGCAAAAAAATGTTGGAAAGCAACTCTTCGGTGACGGAGTAAATCAATGTTGGTCTCATGTTGATCTCCGAATTTTGTGGATCCTTAAATGTGCAAAGATCTCGATATATGCCCAAATATGTTCAGTTTGTGCCACTTAAACTGATTGAAACCAACTGAGCCGAAGAATTTCCAGGTGCAACCGCAATTCATGCTGGTGATCCTGTCAGTGTCGCTGCTGGGGGAATCTTTGGCTGCGATGAAGTTTTCAATCGCATCCGTATGGTTTGTGAAGTTCATTGGAATATCAGCATATATCTCAGAATATCCATGGTTTTTCAAGGACATGGTCTGCAAATGCAGAATTTTGATGAATTCTTGTATGTCTATGTTGTTTTACTGGAGGGTATCTGCAAGATTTTGCACGTTTCGTTGGGTGGGGGCATTTTTTGCAACGTTTCACCCTCCAGTGGAATTCTGAAGTTCCCTCCAGGCATTCGAGAATGTGCTGTTACATAATCATTTCCGAATGTCAACCCAACATTAACGCACCCCCAGTTGATAAATATGGTGGAATGGGGGGTACCATCATGACTATCATCGTTGGATCATGTTGGACTCAAAAGTTGGAATTCTCGCGGGCCTGGGAGCCTAGGTTTGGTGGTGCTGCAAGAGGAATGAGACTCTACCTCCAGTGGTCGAGGCCCGGACCATTGAAGGGTGAAATATTCATCGCTTTCCGCAGCACCTGATGAGCCGGTTGGCTCTCTGGATTGAAGCTTTTAGGAACTTTAGGCTGTGATTCAATGGACTGCGTATGCTCTTCCACTATATTTCACTGGAATGCTATAGTCACAGTCTATTCCTGTCTTGTGCCGCCCAATTTTTAGTGCAAAATCTCTTTGAAGTCCACCAAAGCCTGTTGTCGCAGGCGGCCTGAGTTGATTGGTCGTTCATTGCCAGCAGCTCCTAACGTTGAACTGAAGAGAATGGTGTAATGCTAATGTGGCAAGCAAACGTAGTGCCTCCATGTGCCACACCAAAGCAACATTGAGTATTAAAATATATGAAAATCAATAAGCAAAAATCAATATCAAGATGTACAAAACCAATATATATATATATACATACAGTAAGTATATATAAATTATATATATATATACACACCACCATAAATCATACATCACTATACCTCACTCTCACGGCGCCATGTCGGTCTCTCGCGTCCAGGTGCAGGGCTTTCAGATCCCGGTAGATCAGCTAATCCACACCAAGGACCCCGACGAATCCGCGATTGAAATGGACTTTGGGTTTTTCTGCATCCCTTTTTTAACCTAGTAGGGGTTGCATCTGGCAGATTCCTGTACATTTTGATGCGGAACCAAGCTTTGCAGATGGTTCTCTGAAATCATATGGCCTTGTGAATGTTTGGCCATGGGGGAAGATACATGATGATACCATCGTGGTTATTTCAATGAGATGTGGAGGTGCCATATTTTCAGACAAAGTCGGATTCGGCCGGAGTCAGCTGTTTTCAATAGCAAGATGGAGGATTCAACAGAATTGTGGATGCAATCAAAGACAAGATGGGGGATTACAACCCCTATGTAATATGTATATATATATATATATGATTGAGTATGTATGTATGTAAAGTAATATATATATATACACGCTTGGGGCCCTAGGTTTCCGCAGATTATCTTGCTTATCATTGATCCAAATGTCAAAAATCACTGTTTCGCCACAGCGAAATGCGGATTTTGCACATTCTTCTTCTTCATTCTTTAATGACAATTGTACGGACCTAAATTTTTAGGCCCGCGCAAGTTGCATGTTATGACATGTTATCCACAGTACATGTCAATTCTGATTTTCATGTTTTTCCACACGAAATACCACTTTTCATGAATTTCTTTGATTTTTTTATCCGGAATTGTCATGAAGAGGTGTCATTTTTTTATTGGTATTTGCAGTGAATTTTAATGTTAGCATGAAACGGCACATGTTGATAGTCAGCCCTTTTTGCTCGTTGTTGTTTCAACTTCATCAGGCAAAACATGTTCGTCCGCAGGCAAGACGTCATCTTCTTGAGCAGGCACCATTTCAATGTCTGAGGTCTCCAAGTCCTGTGAATGTCAAGCGGGTTTTTTCTTATCTTTTTTTTCTTTCGACATGATTTGACATGATTTCCCAATTCCAAGAATTGAAACAGAGTGAAAATTAAAAAATAGAAACCTTTGCAGATGTTTCCCGAATCAGCCCACCTGGTCCGGAAGCATGCCTAGTTCATGAAGACGCTGCCGACGGCCACACGCAATATCTCGACTCAATGGTAACATGCCCCACCCCACCCCACCCCTCCCATCAACGTAGCAACAACGTAACATGAACATGACGTTAACATGCCCCACCCCACCCCACCCCTCCCATCAACGTAGCATCAACGTAACATGAACATGACGTTAACATGCCCCACCCCACCCCACCCCTCCCATCAACGTAGCATCAACGTAACATGAACATGACGTTAACATGCCCCACCCCACCCCACCCCTCCCATCAACGTAGCATCAACGTAACATGAACATGACGTAACATGCCCCACCCCACCCCACCCCTCCCATCAACGTAGCATCAACGTAACATGAACATGACGTAACATGCCCCACCCCACCCCACCCCTCCCATGAACGTAGCAGCAACGTAACATGACGCTACCATGCCCCACCCCACCCCCCCCCTCCCATGAACGTAGCAGCAACGTAACATGACGCTACCATGCCCCACCCCACCCCACCCCTCCCATGAACGTAGCAGCAACGTAACATGACGCTACCATGCCCCACCCCACCCCACCCCTCCCATGAACGTAGCAGCATCAACGTATGAACATGACGTTAACATGCCCCACCCCACCCCACCCCTCCCATCAACGTAGCAACAACGTAACATGAACATGACGCTAACTTCCCCCACCCCACCCCACCCCTCCCATCAACGTAGCACAGCAACGTAACATGAACATGACTAACATGCCCCACCCCACCCCACCCCCCTCCCATCAACGTAGCATCAACGTAACCATGACGTTACCATGCCCACCCCCACCCCACCCCTCCCATCAACGTAGCATCAACGTACATGCAACATGACGTTAACATGCCCCACCCCACCCCCCCCCTCCCATCAACGTAGCAACAACGTAACATGAACATGACGTAACATGCCCCACCCCACCCCACCCCTCCCATCAACGTAGCATCAACGTAACATGAACATGACGTTAACATGCCCCACCCCACCCCACCCCTCCCATCAACCATGTAACATGAACCGTAACATGCCCCACCAAACATAGCATCAGTAACATGAACATGACGGTAACATACATGCCCCACCCCCCCCCACCCCTCCCATCACGTAGGTAACATGAACATGACGTTAATGCCCCACCCCACCCCACTCCCATCCCATCAACGTAGCATCAACGTAACATGAACATGACGTTAACATGCCCCACCCCACCCCACCCCTCCCATCAACGTAGCATCAACGGTACCATGAACATGACGTTAACATGCCCCACCCCCAACCCCACCAACCTCCCATCAACGTAGCATCAACGTAACATGAACATGACGTTAACATGCCCCCCCCCACCCCACCCCACCCCTCCCATCAACGTAGCATCAACGTATATCAACGTAACATGAACATGACGTTAACATGCCCCACCCCACCCCACCCCTCCCATCAACGTAGCATCAACGTATATCAACGTAACATGAACATGACGTTAACATGCCCCACCCCACCCCACCCCTTGCGGAAACCTGTGGCCCCGAGGGTATATATATACACATAACTTGGATATAATATGGCTATCTATCCCTTGTAAGTGGACCTGCGCTCCCAAGTAGGAGGCCGTTTCCATCTAGTTGATGCAAAGAGGATTACTGGAAGGGTTAACATCCATTGAACACAAAATGGCACAATCGATTTTCCCCAGAAGGACATCGTGGTCACCCATCCGAAGATGGACCTGGAGTGACCTGGAGTGACACCGGTTTTCAGGACCCGCGAACAGCATATCTGTTGCTCTTTGCTGCCGGCCTGGTTGGTTGTCATCACTTCTATTTGGATCGTTTGCTGCACGGATGCCTTGCAGCTACCCGACTGACGGTTGGCATTTCAATCCACTGACTTGAAATCAATCCTGTGCGTCGGATGAACATGAATTGTCCTTCCAAGGAGGAACAGACTTTGAACAGATCCAATCTTTTGAAATTTTGTTATTGTGCTAAAGCATGGTAACCCCACCAACAAACAATGCACCATTTACCCCATTTTTACCATGGCGGGGAGGTACTTGAGACCTTTCCCCCATTAGTTTCAATGGACCGGTGGGAAAATCAACTGGAAAGTTTCGGAACCACCTTTTTGCGTGGCGGCAAAAAACCCATGGCTTGCGGCAGATTTTCCCTTGAACCAAGCATTGATAAGTGTGACACTGCAAAGAAAATGATGCCCAGGCTATCACCGGGAAGCTTGGCTGACACCTGTGGGATGGTTATGACTGGTGACTACTGAAGGTGAGTGCCAAACCAAGGTATCCATCTATCAATCTATCAATCAACCTATCTATCAATCAATCAATCAATCAATCTATCAGTCAGTCTATCTATCAATCAATCAACCAATCTATCTACCTATCAATCAATCTATCAGTCAGTCTATCTATCAATCAACCAATCTATCTATCTATCTATCTATCAGTCAGTCTATCAATCAATCAATCAACCAACCAATTTATTTATCTATCTATCTATCTATCTATCAATCTATCAGTCAGCGTATCAATCAATCAATCAATCAACCAATCTATCAATCGATCTATCGATCGGTCGATCTATTGATCTATCAATCTATCGGTCTATCGATCGATCGATCGACCTACCATCTATCCGTCTATCTATCTATCTAATCTAATCTAATCTAAATCTAATCTAATCTAATCTAATGTAATCGAATCTAATCTACTCTACTCTAATGTAATCTAACCTAACCTGACCAAATCTAATCTAATCTAATCTACTCTAATCTAATCTATCTACCTATCTATCGATCTATTTATCTTCTCTATCTTCTCTATCTTCTCTTTCTTATCTATCTTGTCTATCTTATCTATCTTATCGATCTTACCTATCTTATCGATCTTATCTATCTGAACTATCTTCTCTATCTTCTCTATCTTATATATTTTATCTATCTTATCTATCTTATCTATCTGAACTATCCGATCTATCTGATCTATCTGATCTATCTTATCTATCTCATCTATCTTATCTATCTTATCTATCTGATCTATCGTATCTATCTTATCTTTTTTATTTATCTAATCTGTATGATCTATCTTATCTATCGTACCTATCCTATCTATTTTGTCTATCCTATCTATCCTATATATCCTATCTATCCTATCTATCTAATCTATCTAATCTATCTAACCTATCTAACCTATCCAACCGATCTACTCGATCTAATCGATCTAATCTAATTCATCTTTTCCATCTATTCCATCTATCCATCTATCCAGCTATCCATCTATCCATCTATCCATCTATCCACCGTCTGAACCAAAGAGGAAGGTTCCCACTGAAAACATTGCCAAGACCGAAACTTGGTGGTCACATCAGCCTTCGGAAGCCCTTGAAACTGTCGAACGAGTGGCTGTCATGATGGGCATACCGGTTAGCCTCCTGGGCAAAAAAATGTTGTGTTGAACCTCCTGCGTGCCATGACAGCGGCTATCAGTCTTACCAAGTGGCTAGCTCCTTGGCTCCGCAGAAAGCTGAAGCACAAAGTGCTTCAATCCCATCTTCAGATTCTCCATTCGATGATCCTTATCATCTACATTTTGACACCTTTCACCATGACTTACAGCGTTCACCTTTTTCAATGCTTTCGCATCATCCAGAGTCGTATGATGGTGGTTGCCGTAATCCATGGTCTTCGACCGAACCAGAAGCTGAAGTCAATTTTGGAAGGATGTACCGACCTCACACATCTGTGGGGATCAACACTTCATGCCCACGACCTTTTTTCAAAACCATTTTTCCAGTCTCAAAGCGTCTACATCCGTTTCACCCACATTGTGAACATGCAGCCCAAGTTCTACATAGGCTCAGCTATGCATCATACCCTTGACAGGGAGTACAGTCGCTCCAGAAAGTATCTTCAACTCACCAATGAACGACTTGTACAAGCCGAGCTTGCCCTACGCTACTGGCGGGAACATGACAACCTGTATAATTGGGCGCCCATCCCAATATACACTGAAAGAGCCGACTATCGCACTCTTGAAATGACCATCATTCAAGAATGGCAGCCCAGACTCAACTACCCCTTCATTTGCCAATTCTTTCACCCCAGGAAAGGCATCCTCAAGAAACCTGTCTTGAACACAAACGCTCAGTTTGGTCTGGCCACGTTATGGCGTCGAGCCAAACACAAGTTCACTCCAAAACTTGTTCGTCAGATCTTGACATCCGAAAGGTTTCAAAACCGACTGGAACTTTGGACCATCATCCACGCTTTAGGGTTTAACAGGCGAGCCAGATTTGAACAGACCAAAATGCTGCGGTCCAATGACGGGGGTCTCACCCTTTGCTATGCTCTCCGACGACTGGCAAACAACATCCAGGAGCCCTTCCGCACCCTGTCACTTCATGCAATCGATACGTCCATCAAATGGTGGAAAGGAAAGCCTGCTCCACGAGCAACGGCACTCCGTGCCCCATGGTCCCTCACTCCCAATCTCCAACAACAATTGAAACAGTTCCTACGAAAGTGGCACCTCCAAGTTCTTGCATACCAAGTTCCATGCCACACACCATCTTTCAAGATGGTCTTCGTCTTCATCAAACATGCAGCTGTTCTGGACTGCAATCACAAGCAGGCCATCGCGGACTGGTCCACCACACAACCTGCCACGTGTTGTTGCAAAAAGTGGGAACCTTTCAAAACAGCTGCCCTCAATCTATCAGATCCTCACTGGGTCTTCGCAGGTTCACTACTTCACTCACTCGTACTGGAAGAGTTGGCTGTCATTGCCGAAGGCTCCTTGTTGAACAAGGTATTTCCTTCCAAAAAGGAATACCAAAACCAGCTCAGACTTGGGCTTCAAGGCTGGACAAAGCGTAATGGCATACCGTCCATGCCAAATTCAGAGATTTCCGCTTTCAGCCAACATCTTTGGACAGAGCACTTCAAGCACGTTACTTGTCACATCACCAAATCATCCATCACCTCATGTCAAAAAACCTTCGAGGGCGCTATCTTCCATTGTGAAGACAAACAAGCCTCTTCTTTGAGAATCTACTGCCCTTGCTTGTACTACCAAGCAATTGAAAAACCCTTTCAGGATCCCTCCATTTCGAACCGGTCTCCCAAGATCCTGAATCCATCGTCACATCTCTTGTCGATCTTCTACATCGACAACATGGAAAACCCTACCCTTGGGCGGTAGGACACGGACGACAATTGCCAGCTGGTTATATCCTGGCAAAAAGGAGGAAAGAATTTCGCAGTGGCCGACCCATCATTTCCTTTGTGGACTCTCCCTTTCGTCCTATGCTCAACATCCTTGCCAGAATGATCTTTCAACTGATCCCAGTGGCATGTCCAAATCACTTTGCTTCCGGGGATCTATACGCGCTCCTATCCATCCTCAAATCAGCACCCATTGACGCAGATCTCATTCTTGTCAATCAAGACCTTGCTGGTTTCTTCACCAGCATTGATCAAGATCGCTTCATCAGTGCCTGGTTCATGCTCTTGGTTTTCCTGCGGCCCCACATGGATGTTTCTGACAACGAAGTATTCTCGGTTTATCCAGGAAAGACTAACAATCCCGGCGACATCATCAAAGGCCGCACCTTCCGTAGACTCAACGTCACCAGGAAGATCATCATCAAAGATGTCCCTGATTTACTCAAGTCAGCATTGAACATGCAGACGTTTGCTCTGGGCCAAAAATGCATTCGACAGTGTAGAGGCAGCCCCATGGGCAGTCCACTATCTCCAGCACTCTGCCTCATGGTTGTCTCTATCAGCGAACAAATCTGGTCCCTCAACTTCAAACAAATTCTTTGCAATCACCACTTATTCATCCGACACATCAGATATGTTGACAACTGCCTCATCTTTGGTGATTCGCGACTTCGAGATCTTCCACCATATGAAGTGCTGGATGAAGGCTTCTATGGAAAACCCATCATCCTGGAAACCGAACCAGATCAGGAATTCCTCGGTTTCATGTTGGAAACAAAACCATTGGAACTGATCTATCAAAGTTTCACCAGCATATCACAAGTCTTGTCTCCGTTCTCGGCTTCCCCACCCAAAGTACTTCTCAGCGGATTTCGTTCTCGGTGCCACATCGTTGTCAAAGGAGCATTTCCCGACTTCCGTGTTCGACAAGGGCTCGACCAATTAATTCACTTGTATACTTTGGCTGGTTTTCCCAATGAGGAACTCCGCACCATTTCATCTCAGATTTTGATTCAGCATCAGAACCTTCAGACGCATGAGCAAAAATGGTCTGACGTCTACGTTTTACAGATGATTCTCGTCGCTTCATTGGTTCTCGAAGTGTGTTGTTCTAATTTCCTCGTTTCTTCTTCTTTAGTCTGGCTCAAACTCGCTTCTCCGCTTTCCTTCGCTGCGTGTTCCGTTTCATCATGGACCACACCCAACGCCGTGAATTTCATCATCATCTCGCTCGTGCCATCATGCACTTGAACTGCCTTGCGGGATTTCTTCCCTTCTTTGAACCGGCAATTGAATGGGATGACCCAATGGGCGAACCCTATAGGGCGATCAAATCCTCGACCTCTTTCAATTTCAAGCCGTCCACGTGACGAAGAAGTTCACCCAGCCATAGCCCCAGCACTCCGGAATCCGGTCTCCGAATCTAGCCCTCCACCGGCTTCAGGTCCACGTTTACCGGACCCTGACACTCCTCGTGTGGCGACCCGGACAACAAATGCTGTACCCGTTCGTTCAAAACAACGATCCAACCACCCTGATGATCCACAACCGAAGAAGAAACAGCGCTCGCAAGACATATGGTACATTCGTCATCATCCCGACCCATCTCTTTACCGGTTATTACCGATGTTCCTCATGATGGCTTCAATTCA